TTGCCCTTCTCTGTACTTTCTCCAGTTCCCCAATGTTCTTTTTGTGAAATTGTGCCCAAAACTGAACTGCATATTCCAGATGAGGTCTTACTAATGATTTGTACCGGGGTAATATGATATCTCTCTCTCTGGAGTCTATACCTCTTTTAATACAAGAGAGGATTTTGCTTGTTTTAGAAAGCCGCAGCTTGGCATTGCATGCCATTATTAAGCTTGTGATCTACCAGAACTCCCAGATCCTTCTCCACCATTGATTCCCCCAGTTGTACCCCCCCCCCCCCAGTATGTATGATGCATGCATATTCTTAGCTCCCAAGTGCAGAACCTTACATTTATCAACATTAAACCTCATTTGCCACATAGTTGCCCAATTAAAGAGTGCATTGAGGTCGGCTTGTAAATTGGAGACATCCTGTAAGAACGTTATTCCACTGCACAGCTTGGTGTCATCTGCAAAGACTGAAATGGGATTTTTAATCCCCGACCCTATATCATTTATAAATATATTAAAAAGTAAGGGTCCCAACACTGAACCTTGGGGTACACCACTGATAACCCTGGACCATTCAGAGTATGAATCATTAACCCCTACTCTCTGAATACGATCTTTTAGCCAGTTTTCTATCCATTTACATACAGATTTTTCGAAGCCCATAGACTTTACCTTACACATTAGCCGTGTGGGAATCTGGTCAAACGCTTTGCTCCAAGTATACCACATCCACCCCACCCCTCTGTCCAAGTAACCACTTCTGCAAGTATACCACGTCCACCGCCACCCCCTCTGTCCAAGTATACCACATCCACCGCCACCACCCCTCTGTCCAAGTATACCACGTCCACCGCACCCCCTCTGTCCAAGTATACCACGTCCACCGCCACCCCTCTTTCCAAGGTTTTGATCACCTCCTCATAAAAACAAATCAGATTTGTTTGACAACTTCTGTCTTTCATGAATCCATGCTGTCAGTTGCTTAAAATATTATTTTCCAGCAAGAACTCATCTATGTGGTCTTTTTTATTAAACTCTCCAGTATTTTCCCAAACTATAGAAGTTAAACTAACAGGTTTATAATTACTTGGTAAAGATTTTGACCCCTTTTTAAATATTGGCACCACATTGGCCTTACGCCAATCCAATGGTACTATGTCAGTCATTAAAGAGTCCCCTAAAAGTTATAAACAATGGCTTTGAAATGACAGAGCTCAATTCTCTAAGAACCCGTGGGCGTATGCCATCCAGTCCAGGTGCTTTATTCACCTTTATTCTGTCTAATAAAGACTGTACATTTTTACTATTAATATATTTGAAGAATTTTTGGGGTTGGTCCTGCTATCTTTTGCAATCTGTCGTTCATTTTCAATTTTTGCAGCATTTCCTTTTTGCATATTCTGTTATATTCTTTGTAATGTTTAAATGATGATAGCGTTCCTTCATTTATATATTTAATAAAAGCTCCTTTCTTATTATCTATAACTTTTTTAACTTTGGCAGTAAGCCACATAGATTTGATTTTTAGCCTTTTAAACGTGTTGCCCATGGGAATATATTTTGCAGTGTGTCTACAGTCTTTTTGAAGAACTCCCATTTCGTTGTGTTCATTGATTCCAATATTCCCTCCCAGTCTAAGAGCTGGAGAGCAGCTCTCAGCCTTGGAAAATTAGCTCTCTTAAAATTGAGCGTTTTTATTTTTCCCGTATGTGCTTGCTGTCTACAGCTAACAATAAATTAAATCATGTTATGGCACTGCTACCCAGATGTTCTTTTATGTGGACATTCGTAATAAGCTCTATATGGTTTGAGATTACCAGGTCCAGCAGAGCATCATTCCTAGTTGGTGCCTCTATGAACGTACCATAAAATAGTCCTGTAGTAGGTTTAAAAATTTTTGCCCTTTAACTGTTCCTTCAATACCATTACTCCAGTCATTTTCCGGGTAGTTAAAATCCCCCATTATTATCACTGTCCCAGCCCTTGCGGCTCTTTCGATCTGTGCAAGGAGCTGAGTCTCCACCTCCTCATTAACACTAGGAGGCCTATAACAAACTCCAATGATTACCTTTGTAGTACGCACCCCCATGTGCAGTTCCACCCTTAATGCTTCAGCCTCATCACACTCTCCAGCAACTAGGTGCTTGTTCACACTCGCTATGAGATCACTTCTCACATAGAGACAGACACCACCACCTTTCCTATTTACCCTGTCTCTTCGAAAGAGAACATAGCCAGGAATATTAATGGCCCAGTCATGTGAAGAATGAAGCCAAGATTCAGCAAGTGCGTTACAGAGTACAATGCATTGTGGTGTCCAGTGCATTACAGTGTAGTGAATTACAGTGTCCAGTGCGTTACAGCGTATAGTGCATTGCTGTGTCCAGTGCGTTACAGTGAACAGTGCATTGCTGTGTCCAGTGCGTTACAGTGTACAGTGTATTGCTGTGTCCAGTGCGTTACAGTGTACAGTGCACGGCGGTGCCAAGTGCATTGCGGTGTCCAGTGCATTACAGAGTACAGTGCATTGCGGTGTCCAGTGCATTACAGTGTACAGTGTATTGCGGTGTCCTAGTGCGTTACAGCATACAGTGCATTGCAGTGTCCAGTACGTTAAAGAGTACAGTGCATTGCGGTGTCCAGTACATTACAGAGTTCAGTACATTGCGGTGTCAAATGCGTTACAGAGTACAGTGCATTTTAAGTATTGTATTGTTTTTTCCTGTTTTTTTGCAGTACAAATAAGATATGTGGTGTATGCATAGGAATTTGTTCATATTTTGTTCAGACTATAGTCCAGCCCCCCAACAGTGTGAAGGTCCATGAACTGGCCCCCTGGTCTAGGCTAATCCTTTTTTGATGCTTTATTATAACTTGAACTTGGATGGGGTGCAGGGTAACTGTGGGATACCCCAATAATGTTATGCTGTAACTTGAGGACACTTGCCTCCTTTTCAAAGCCTCCTAGCGCAGTGCTTGCAGCATGGACTGAACCTCACAGGGACACCATATCGAATGTTCACCTTTCAGCATAGACTGACACTGATGCCAGAAAGATAATAGCAGCATAAAGTCACTTGGATCTCACACACCTATCTGTACTCACAAATGTTTTTGGATATTTGGATACCTCCTTCTGAAGTCAGCAAGACATGTCTCCTGCAGGTTATACAGACCAGATTCCCAGACAAATTCCTCAATCAGCTCCAGCAAATTTCAGTAGAATAGGCCCCCCCCAACTAACACAGCTGAGACCTCGATGAGTAAATGAAGAAGCACAGCTGGACTACCCAGAAGGGCATCAGCCCTTCAGTCTGGTAACTTCTACTCCTGGCCATGAACCCCTCTACATGTTCCCTCCCAGCACCCTACTGGGCATCTTCCCTCAGACACTGGCTGGGACTGTATAAATATTCAGGCTGTAGATTTGACTGTCCCAGCCCACTACTTTACAGAAGGCAGGGAGAAGCAGTCGAGCCCACAGTCAGTGAAACTCAGAGCAGACCAAAGCAACCACAAGCTGCTCCACTGATAACAGTGGAGCTAAAGAACTACATTTACCCAGCCTAGCACCTATCTAGGAGGATGCTGCTTGAGTATTTTATTTTTCTGGTGGGTGACAGGTTCATGTCTGCTGAGCCATCTTCTGTAGAGTGGACATGGACAAAGCCCACTCTGCTCTATTGACTCTGCTGCCCTCCAATCCGCTTCCAATTTTTTTTAGTGAAATGAATTGTGCCAGAGGTAGGCAGGTGTAAGCGGAATGGACCGTGAATAGGGTGCATGGACCATCCAATCAGGTCCACCTGTCAGGCCTGGAAAACTGACAGGCAGATCTAATGGGACCCTTCGTGTGAAAGGTTTTTTACCCTAATACATTCCCTGCATTAAGGTAAAAAAACCTTCTGTGTGCTGGGTTCCCCCCTAGCCCCCGATTATACTTATCTGAGCCTGATCTCTATCCAGCACTGTACCCAAGGGCAGAGGCTCTCTCCCTTCTCAAGTCCCTCATTTTTAGCATGTTTTTGGAAAACACACCAAAAGTTTTGAATGCTGCATCTTTGGTGCGCTTTCAGAAAAGCAATAATAATGGAAAGTCTATTGGAAAGTGTGGGTAACCCGCATGAAAACCATGGGTGAACCTGTGCTATGGCTAAACGGTTTACGCACGTCAAACGTTTGAGCATTAATGGATCCCAATGGCCAGAATATTATTTATTCTGGCCATTGGAATGCATTAATGCCCAATGCTAGACGCACCTAGTGCTTAGGCAATTTTACATGCGTTTAGGCACATCAAATGATTTTTTTGCTCTTCAACTCTCCTGAACATGCCTGTGATGGATTTTTTTTCAGCCTATAAATACACTTCTTCTGTGCATGGACACATAGGCTAACATAGATGTGACTTTATAGGCTGAAAAAAAAAAAACACCAATCCCCTGTAAAACTGGCATATTTTAAGCCCTGTGTGCCTAACTGAGTAAGATGGATACTTTACAAGTAGTTATAATATTGATAGAGACAGATTAAGATTAACTTTTGCTGAATTTTTGATATATTGTTTACTGTCATATCTATTTGTGTGTTTTTTTTTTGTTTTTTTTTTTTTGGGGGGGGGGGGGGTTGTGGTTTTGTCACATTTTATGGTACTTAGGACTCTAGGTAATTGTGCACCATAAAAATGTGTAAGAAAGCGGTTTCAGAATGAGGTTTATGCAAATCCCATGTCAAAGTATAGCAAACACAAGAGCGGTATGTGCCCTAGAAAACACCAGCTTGACATGTCTCTTAATCTGGTACAAATCCTCTCTTGTTGCCATTAGCCACTGGTGTTTATAGCATATTTTGTTAGTGGCTTTCTAACATCATGTTATAGTAAACACTGGTTAAGTGTAATGGGGCTAATTGGTTTGTAGACCTTTGCTGACATCCATGCTGATAGCAAGAAGAATATAACCTTTATCTGCTGTTAAATCTCACATCCAACTTTTCTTTTTTGTTCCAGTCCAGTTACCATCTGGGCAAGTCTGTCCAGGAGTCAAGAAGTCTATGTCTTTGCCAACCAACTCTCTGCGGATGGGAAACAACTTGTCTCCATTAATCATCTCTAAAACTCAGAGTCACTCGCTCTATTCCTTCTTGCCGGTCCTAAGAAGAGAACCGTTGAGGACAACCCGTGTCCTGCCTGCCATTCCCAGTCAAAAGGGCCAAAATGCAACAGAAAGCCTTATGAGATCTCCAAACAAGTCTGACACCAACGACTAGCTTCAGTAGAAGAGTCCCCCTGTCTGTATTTTTACATTTGTACATTACACTGTATGTAGGGTCTGTGAGACAGCAATCGTGTGTCATTTGTACATTCTTGAAAAATGATTATAAACATGAACTACGTTTTTTGCTATTTTTTTAAAAATAAAAAATCATTTTTCTAAGTTGTTATTTTGTGATCTTCCATGCCAAAACAACATGAAAAAATGTCAGAGGAAACTTTACAATAAATAGTTTAATTAAATTCTACAATGTTTTGATAGAACTTATTGTTTTATTTGCTGTGATTATTATTATTTATCAGTTATATTGAGGAGAACTTGTCACTGGCCAGCATACCTGATCTGGTGCAGGATATTGTGCTCTTGTGATGGTCCCTGTCATCTGACTTTTGGGACACTTACTAACTCCGGGCGCTATGTGTGATGTGCCTGACTTGGACCTATTACTATATGTGCTTGTAGGATCATACAGCAGAGAAATATAGCTCCCAGCAATGCCATGTAACTTTGGATGGTATTGTTGGTAAAAGGACCTGATTAACTCAAGCATGATGTGAGTAAAATAACATGAAATACAGTGAGCTTGAGTCATTCTAGGCCAGAAATGAATTGAACCTGTGTTCAAGCATCAAAGTCAGTGTTTCCCAACCAGGGTGCCACCTGGGTTCCTCTAGGTGTAGTGAGCATGGGACCCAGTTTGCCCTGGACGTTCATCATGAGTTGCCATCGAGCAGGCGAGCTGGCTGCCAGCACCATAGCAACCAAGGGCTCTGTGATGGGGGGACTGTGTGTTTTGGGGGCTCTGTGATGGGGGGACTGTGGTTGGGGGCTCTGTGATGTGGGGATTCTTTGGAGATGGGGAGACTCATGTATAGCAAGCCTTTAATGGAACTGATGTATGCAGGGCAGGTGGGTGGCTCTCAGGTGATGGGGTGTCTGTGATGTGAAAGGGGGAGTCTGGTGTGATGGGGGACCTCCGAAGTGATAGGGTGGGTCTTTCATGTGACGGGGGGGGGAGGTAGTGTGCATTGCCCCAGGCTCAGGTTTCCCATTGATAGAAAAGTATAAAGTATAACTAAAGGCAAAACTTCTTTATTAGATTTGGATAGATTGCAGAGAGATTAGAATACCTGTCAGATTTTATTGCTGTCTGTGCCCCCGTTAAGGGGATTCACCCTCTCTATTTGTCCTGTTTACCAGTATCATTGAAAGTAAAAGAAAATATTGGGTTGTCCCCAGAAAAGTAATAGAGAGGAAATCTTCCAATAGGGACATTAGTTTTACTGGGGTCCCCCAAGGAATTCCCTTAATCTCAGGGACTTCACTCCTGTTTGGCTATGGGACATGAAATAAAGGGAAAATCTCCACAATAGGACATAGATGGCGGAAAAAAATCCCTTGCTCTATTCAAAATTTTAAAACAAATTGCCCATAGTTCTATTTTTAAGTTTTTCACATTTTAGACTGGGATGCCTTGAGATTTTGTGTATTTTTTAAAGGGTGGCAAGACTGAAAAAAGGTTGAGAAACGCAAATAATAAATAATATATATATTTTTTGTTAAATCTCCTGCAGTTGACCAGATGTTTGATGTGAGCACATTCCTCCACTTTAGATAACTTTTGCCCTTTGCTAAATCTGTCTCAGCTTAACACCACTTCATACGTTAGTAAATCAAGCCCTGTCTCTAAGACAGGAGTCCAATCTGCAAATAAACAGGGAATTTTTCCCAGGAAAAACAAGAAGCATGATGTGAAAAGCTCTGTACACAGAATGAGAATATCGGACAAATGGTCGTCCAGTTTTTTTACATCCTAGTCTCATCGAAAGTGCAGAGGTTACTAAAGTTACAAAAATTTTTGTATGACAGAATACAAAATTCATAAGCGATGTAATGTATTGTATTGTATTTTCGGATTAAAACTCTACAAAATCATCTGGTATTGTACGAGAAACATTTTCATGCTTATCCCTTGGAATAATTTTGGACAAAAGCTGTGTACTAATGATCAGATTATTGTACAATCGCTTCAAAAGCAGTATTTTCTGACCGTGAGTACTAGGCTTAACAGCATTTTGCACAAGGCCAAATTCTTACGGTAAGTTATTTTGTAGGGTTGTTAGTGTGGTGTTAAAAAACCTATGATCAGAGATATAGATTTCCTTTACCAGAATTCCTGTGGTTTGTTGTGTTCTATGGCAGATAATGTGCCTGTGCAGGGATGCCATTGCTCCCCCACAGTGTGTGAGCTTCATCAACTCCACACACTTGTTGGTATTGCTGTCATTACTGGAAAGTCATTCCCACAGGATACCAGATTCTCAGCTTCTCGTTATATGATGCCTGTCAGGCCCAACCACTACTATCTAATTGTCATATAAATCATTCTGGAAGATCAAGTATGTAATTACTGTAGGAGTGTATAAAACGTGAAAACAGAAATCCCTGACTATGCGTCTACACTATAGGTATTGTGTAATAAAAGTTATCTGACATTTATCAAACACTCCCCAAACAGAACTTGCAACTGTCTTTGTAGGTTTGTTTATTCTGCAAATGTATTGTGCAAAAAAGTCAGTTTGATAAGCATCTACTTTGACTTGCTAAAAGTCCATGGCAAACATCCAGAAAACATATAATGCATTTTAGCTGCCAACAGTACATGAAAGGGGTGTTGTTAAAAGTAAACCACAGCTAGTATTAATAGGAAGATTCATACATAATGCCTGCCTGCTCAGAACTTTCATTTCTCATCCATATATTATTACAATGCAGAAGTCCACTCCAATATGTTATATCAGAAAGGCTGGATCTCTACAGCCAATTTATGCCATGACCTGGGGGTAACAGACCTCCGTTTACACATGTAAGGCCAGTTCAATCCAGATGGGTCCTCATTGCTGCACAGTTTAAATGGTGTTGGTGGAAGCAAATACAATGCATTTATATTGACAAGTCACCAGCCTTGGGAAGGCTGGTGACTTGTCAATATAAATGCAACAGAAAATAACAGAAAGCAGAGCTCCAGGCATTGATCTTTTTTTTTTTTGCATTTTTACATCGGCCCAGCTTGGACTAACGTAAGAATGCATATGCCATACTTGTGGGACCGATGTAGAAGCCGAGAATGGCTGTAGTAGGCGCTAATACTACAGTAATTGTGGCTGTCTTTTGGGTGCCCTTCTGCATAGTAACCATAAGGGGTCACTTGCTTGGCAAGGACACCATTCACAGAACACATGCAATTTTTCTAAAATCTGATTGGTTCTCTGAACAAGACAGAGATAGAGACAAGATAGAGATCATGATGTCACCACCCCTCCTCTCTCTTACAATTAGAGAAAGACTTGCTTTCATTGATAAAATGCAAGACTGTGAATAGAGTCCTTGCCCTCTGTGGTTACTATGCTGCAGGCCAGCCGCTCGGCATGAGACCCAGAAGACAGTGGCAATCACTGTAGTAGCGGCAACTGCTACAGTGATTTTCTGCTACCACAGTGGTCCCACAGGTGTGGTCAGTGACAATAGTCACAAGGACAAACAGAGGGGTGAAGTTCTCCAGCTATAACACAGGCCGCAATAACCGCTTCCCGACCACCCTAGACCAGATATACAGCTACAGGGCGGCATGAGTGCGCAAAATCACATACATATATGTGATTTTGCATTTACAGGTAGGGGGCGCACGCGTCCTACCCACGCCACCGTTCGTGGCCGTGGCTGTCAGTCACCGGGTCCCAGCCGGTGATTACTCGCCGGTGCCCAGTGATTGCTGAGCATCTCCGACGAAGAGGAGAACTGTTAGTAAACAAAACAGTCCTCCTCCCTGTCAGCTCGTGCACACTGCTTTGGATGGCTGTGCACAGCACAGCCATGCAAAACAGTGTGCTTACAGTGAAGCACATGGACACAGCCCAATATAAAACAGCACACAGTTAACCCTTTGTTCGCCCTTCATGTTAACCCCTTCCTGCCCAGTGCCATTAGTACAGTGTCAGTGTTTTTTTTAGCACTGATCACTGTATTGGTGTCGCTGGGGATGTCAGTGTCAAGTCAGTTTTCCTCCCAGTGTCAGAATGCCGGCCACAGTCCCACTATAGGTCACTGATAGCCGCCATTACTAGTAAAAATAAAAAAATGAATTCCAGTATCTATACCTCTATACGTAAATGCTATAGCTTTCACGTAAACCAATTAATTTACACGTATTGGGATTTTTCTTAGCAAAGACATGTAGCAGAATACATTTTGCCGTAAATTTATGACAAAATTAGTTTTTTGCAATTTTTTTACTGGACATGTTTAATAGTAAAAAGTCAAAAAATATTTTTTTTCTCAAAATTGTCAGCCTTTTTTTTTATAGGACAAAAATTGAAAAAGCACAGGTGATCAAATACCACCAAAAAAAAGGTCAATTTGTGGGGGAAAAAGGATGTAAATTTCATCTTGGTGCAGCATTGCATGACCGCGCAATTGTTAGTAAAATTAACGCGCAGCGCTGTTAAAGGAAAAATAGCCTGGTCAGGAAGGGGGGGGGGGGGTAAATCCTCGGGAGGAAAAGTGGTTAAATGCACTATAATTAACAAAAAAAAAAAAAGATGATAGGAGTGGTTCAAACACCATTGCCTTATTTTTTTTAAACAATTATTAATTTGATCATAATTTCAGACTTTGGGCTACTGTTAAGGTCATTCTTTTACAATCATCTTGAATAAAAATAATATATAGTATATGATTATTATCCAGGAAAACTTGGTTTCCTTCCACTCTGCTGGCTTTTGGTCTGTTTTTTAAGAAGCAAACTATGCACTTCCTTTTCCTTGGAATTTTCCTTTCCATTCTAAGCTCTTTCGTGGCTTACGGTAAATGGGTAAAACAAATATTACTTATAAACTAAAATAAGCAAACTTAACTAAGCAAATTCATGTTCATGAGATTTCTTTTATTTTGTGGTGTACAGGCACTGTATTCTAATTCTAACAGATCAGATCCTGT